TTGTTTTGATTTTGGGTTTATTTTTCTGATTTTTATTTTGGGGTTGTTTGTTTTTGTTTTGTTTTTTGTTTGGGGGGTTGTTTTTTTTTTGTTTTTTATTTATTTTTTTATTTTGTTTTTGTTTTTGTTTTGTTTTTTTTTGGGGGGGGTTGTTTTGTTTTGTTTTTGTTTTTTTTTGGGGGGGGGTTTGGTCTGTTTTGGTTTAGTTTGATTTTGAGTTTGTTTTATTTTTGTTTTGTAGTGCTGCAAAATGACTGAATAAAAACTACTACATCCACCAAGTAAAAACTGACATCAGCTTAAAGACCCGACCTGGATTTTGACTGAACCGATATTTATGACTGAAGTGTGACAGACGTGTGACAGACGTGTGACAGACGTGTGACTGAAGTGTGACAGACGTGTGACAGAAGTGTGACAGACGTGTGACAGACGTGTGACAGAAGTGTGACAGACGTGAAGTGTGACAGACGTGTGACAGACGTGTGACAGACGTGTGACTGAAGTGTGACAGACGTGTGACAGACGTGACAGACGTGTGACAGACGTGTGTGTGACAGACGTGTGACAGACGTGTGAGTGTGACTGACGTGTGACAGACGTGTGACTGACGTGTGACAGACGTGTGACAGAAGTGTGACAGTGTGACGTGTGACAGAAGTGTGACTGAGTGTGACAGACGTGTGACAGACGTGTGACAGACAGTGTGACTGACGAGTGTGACGACAGACGTGTGACAGACGTGTGACAGACGTGTGTGTGACAGACGTGTGTGTGACAGACGTGTGACAGACGTGTGTGTGACAGACGTGTGACAGAGTGTGACAGACGTGTAACTGAAGTGTGACAGACGTGTGTGACAGACGTGTGACAGACGTGTGACAGACGTGTGACAGACGTGTGACTGACGTGTGACTGAAGTGTGACAGACGTGTGACAGACGTGTGACAGACGTTTGACGTGTGACAGTGTGACAGACGTGTGACAGACGTGTGTGTGACTGACGTGTGACAGACGTGTGACAGACGTGTGACAGACGTGTGACAGAAGTGTGACAGACGTGTGACAGACGTGTGTGTGTGACAGACGTGACAGACGTGTGTGTGACAGACGTGTGTGTGTGACAGACAGACGTGTGTGTGACAGACGTGTGACAGACGTGTGTGACAGACGTGTGTGTGTGTGACAGACGTGTGTGACAGACGTGTGACAGACGTGTGACAGACGTGTGTGTGACAGACGTGTGTGTGACAGACGTGTGTGTGACAGACGTGTGACAGACGTGTGTGTGACAGACGTGTGTGTGACAGACGTCGTGTGTGTGACAGACGTGTGTGACAGACGTGTGTGTGACAGACGTGTGACAGACGTGTGTGTGACAGACGTGTGTGTTGACAGTGTGTGTGACGTGTGTGTGACAGACGTGTGTGTGTGACAGACGTGTGTGTGACAGACGTGTGTGTGACAGACGTGTGACAGACGTGTGTGTGACAGACGTGTGGTGACAGACGTGTGTGTGACAGACGTGTGTGTGACAGACGTGTGTGTGACAGACGTGTGTGACAGACGTGTGACAGACGTGTGTGTGACAGACGTGTGTGTGTGTGTGACAGACGTGTGTGTGACAGACGTGTGTGACAGACGTGTGTGTGACAGACGACAGACGTGTGTGTGACAGACGTGTGTGACAGACGTGTGTGTGACAGATGTGTGTGACAGACGTGTGTGTGTGTGACAGATGTGTGACAGACGTGTGTGTGACAGACGTGTGTGACAGACGTGTGTGTGTGACAGACGTGTGTGACAGACGTGTGTGTGTGTGTGTGACAGACGTGTGTGTGACAGACGTGTGTGTGACACAGACGTGTGTGACAGACGTGTGTGTGACAGACGTGTTGTGGACAGATGTGTGTGTGTGTGTGACAGACGTGTGTGTGACAGACGTGTGTGACAGACGTGTGTGACAGACGTGTGTGTGACAGACGTGTGTGTGACAGACGTGTGTGTGACAGACGTGTGTGACAGACGTGTGTGTGACAGACGTGTGTGTGACAGACGTGTGTGTGACAGACGTGTGTGTGACGTGTGACAGACGTGTGTGTGACAGACGTGTGTGTGTGTGTGTGACAGACGTGTGTGACAGACGTGTGACAGACGTGTGTGTGACAGACGTGTGATCTGTGTTTTCCAGGAGGATTGCGGGGGACAGTCTGTGTGATCCTGGTCTGAGTGGAGGAGGAGGGACGTTAGTCGCTGTTCGTTTGGAAAATAACTTCATCGACCCGGAGACGGTTTCGCCCTCGGCCTTTTCCTGCGTCAGGGCCCCGTCCAGCGTGGTGCTCAAACCCCAGCACGGACCCAAGAACCGACCGCCAAAACGCCACGACTGACCAGAGCCACGACTGACCAGAGCCACGACTGACCAGAGCCACGACTGACCAGAGCCACGACTGACCAGAGCCACGACTGACCACAACCACGACTGACCACAACCACGACTGACCAGAACCACGACTGACCACAACCACGACTGACCACAGAACCACGACTGACCACAACCACGACTGACCACAACCACGACTGACCACAACCACGACTGACCAGAGCCACGACTGACCAGAGACCACGACTGACCACGACTGACCACGACTGACCACGAACCACCACGACTGACCACAACCACGACTGACCAGAGCCACGACTGACCAGAGCCACGACTGACCACAACCACGACTGACCACCACGACCACGACTGACCAGACTGACCAGAACCACGACTGACCAGACTGACCAGACTGACGACTGACTGACCAGAGACCACCGACTGACCAGAGCCAACCACGACTGACCACAACCACGACTGACCACGACTGACCAGACCACGAACCACGACTGACCAGAACCACGACTGACCACGACTGACACAACACGACTGACCACCAACCACCGACTGACCACAACCACGACTGACCAGACTGACCACGACTGATCAGAACCACGACTGACAGAACTGACCACAACACGACTGACGACTGACCACACGACCACGACTGACCAGAACATGACCAGAACCACGACTGACCAGAACCACGACTGACCAGAACCACAACTGACCACAACTGACACGACTGACCAGACTGACCACGACTGACCAGACTGACCACGACTGACCAGAGCCACGACTGACCAGACCACGACTGACCAGACCACGACCAGAACGACTGACCACAACCACGACTGACCAGAACCACGACTGACCAGAACCACGACTGACAGACCACGACCACGACCAGACTGACAACGACGACTGACCAGAGCCACGACTGACCACAACCACGACTGACCACAACACGACTGACCAGAACACGACTGACCAGAACCACGACTGACCAGAACCACAACTGACCAGAACCACGACTGACCAGAACCACGACTGACCACAACCACGACTGACCACAACCACGACTGACCAGAACCACGACTGACCAGAACCACGACTGACCAGAACCACGACTGACTGACCACAACCACGACTGACCACCACGACTGACCACCACGACTGACCAGAACCACGACTGACCACAACTGACCACAACCACGACTGACCCAGAACCACGACCGACTAGGCTAAACCAGGACTAAAACCAGGACCAGGTCTAGGACTAAACCAGACTAAACCAGGACCAGGATTAAACCAGCTAAACCAGGACGGACTAAACCAGGACTAAACCAGACTAAACCAGGAACTAAACAGGACTAAACTAAACCAGGACTAAACCAGGGTACTAAACCAGATTAGGGTTAGAGACAGTTTTAAGTCTTTTTCTGACAGATTTAAGTGTTTTTGTCGGTGATCTGACGGGTTTTTTTTTGTCCAGAAGTCACGACTTTTCTAGTTGTCGAAATATAAATGTTGAAACAGTTTAAATGTGTTTGTTTTATTTCACTTTTTATTTTCACTTATTCCATATTTGGAAGAAAAAAAAAACAAGTTTGAAAGAATCTTACATGTTTAAAGTTTGGTTATTTGTGGATCTCTAAGTTAATTTAAATGTAAATAAATTTTTACTCCATGTTTGTTGCACTGAATGACTTTTTAATGTTTTTAATTCACCAGAAAATCGACACATTTTGCCACTTTTGCCGTTATATTTTCATTTTTTGAGCATCTGAAAACTCAACGTCGAAAACAACACGTCACCGACTCGTTTAAATCGGGAAGAACCTGAAATCCGCTGAAATCCCACAAGACCCTGACACGATACCAGACAATGTGATACCAGACTCCGACGCAATACCAGACACGATACCAGAAACCGACATGATACCAGACACCGACACGATACCAAACACTGACACGATACCAGACACGATACCAAACACCGATACGATACCAGACACCGATATGAAACCAGACACGATACCAGACACGATACCAGACACTGAAATTTTTGAGATTTTTCGCGTAATTCACCGAAACTCGTCTGCGCGTTTCAGCTCTTCCCGGAGAATTTTGTGCGTCCGTAAAAATACAAAAACCTGAAAGTGGAGCAGTGAACGAAAATAAAAGTGAGTGTTAAAGTCGAAGGGTAAATAAATAAATAAAAATAAATAAAAATAAATAAAGCTGTTTGTGTGGAGTTTCCCTTTAACCGAGTCTGAAAAACACCAACAAAACACGACAAACGACACTGAAAAGCTGCACTGCGGAACTTTTCTGGTGCGTTTCTCCGTGGAGATGTTGTTGCTTTGTCTGGAATGTTCCGCGGTACGGCTTTAAACCTTTATATCTCCATGGAGACCAGATCTGTGGAGAGGCGAGCCCCGCTCACAGTCACAATACAAACTGTTTTTCTACAGATTTCTGAGGTTTAGTCCTGGTTTAGTCCTGGTTTAGACCTGGTTTAGTCCTGGTTTAGTCCTGGTTTAGACCTGGTTTAGTCCTGGTTTAGCCCTGGTTTAGTCCTGGTTTAGACCTGGTTTAGTCCTGGTTTAGTCCTGGTTTAGACCTGGTTTAGTCCTGGTTTAGTCCTGGTTTAGACCTGGTTTAGTCCTGGTTTAGTCCTGGTTTAGTCCTGGTTTAGACCTGGTTTAGTCCTGGTTTAGTCCTGGTTTAGACCTGGTTTAGTCCTGGTTTAGACCTGGTTTAGACCTGGTTTAGTCCTGGTTTAGTCCTGGTTTAGACCTGGTTTAGACTCTGTTTAGTCCTGGTTTAGTCCTGGTTTAGTCCTGGTTTAGTCCTGGTTTAGTCCTGGTTTAGACCTGGTTTAGTTTAGTCCTGGTTTAGCCTGGTTTAGTCCTGGTTTAGTCCTGGTTTAGTCCTGGTTTAGTCCTGGTTTAGTCCTGGTTTAGTCCTGGTTTAGTCCTGGTTTAGTCCTGGTTTAGTCCTGGTTTAGTCCTGGTTTAGACCTGGTTTAGTCCTGGTTTAGTCCTGGTTTAGTCCTGGTTTAGTCCTGGTTTAGACCTGGTTTAGTCCTGGTTCTGGGAGGTTTACATGAACATTCTTTCCACTGTACATTTTTACAGAACATGAGTCTGGGTTTTTTTACGACTCTGTGGGAGATTTCACTCTTTTTCCTTCATCTCACCTCCTCGTCTCCTCCTCCTCCTCCTCCTCCCTACTGAACCAGGTCTAAACCAGGTCTAAACCAGGACTAAACCAGGTCTAAACCAGGACTAAACCAGGTCTAAACCAGGTCTAAACCAGGACTAAACCAGGTCTAAACCAGGACTAAACCAGGACTAGACTAAACCAGGACTAAACAGGTCTATTTCAGGACTTATGATTGTATTTTTATTTTTCTTCCGCTTTCTGTTTTTTATGTCAAATGTTTCTAACAGTTTTTGAAGAACAAAAGTGAAGAAAATAAATTCAAATCCTCTGAGTTTTAGAGACTCGTGTTTTTATTTTTTTTTATGTTAATCTTTCGTCCAGGTGAAGTTTCTGTTTTGAGTGACTCATGTTTCAGACGTCAGTGGAAACGAGCGACGACGAGATTCTCCCACAAAACGCCACCGGAAAAAATGAAGAAACGTCAAAAAGGAAACGGTCTGTAAACCTGTGGAATCCTCGAGCGCTTTAAACGAGGCTCAGAACAGTAGCTGGACACACCAGTCGAAAAATAAAAAAAAAACTGGGACATGCACTTTTTTACTTTTTTTTTTTTGTTTTTTTGGGGGTTTTTTTGGTGGTCGGTGAGAATAAAATTGTGAAACGAGTCAAACGTAACGAAGGAAAATGAGGACGCGGTGCTCAGTGGAGTCAGATTTTCTTCGTGTTTTTCGTCGTTTTTAAGAAGATTTTTTTAAAATTTTACGCAAACAAACAAATAACAAAAAAAACAACAACAACAAACAAGAGCAATCAGAAACATCAACCTGATCCCACATGAAGCGTCCAACACAGAAACAGATTATAATGAGACTAAACCAGGACTAAACCAGGACTAAACCAGGACTAAACCAGGTCTAAACCAGGACTAAACCAGGACTGAGGACTAAACCAGAGCTGAACCAGGACTAAAACTAAATTAATCTTGGACTAGAACTTAGAACACAATCGGGCGTCTGCTGTTCTTTGTCTCGGTCCTTTTTGCTTGCGGTCACCTGACGGTCTACACGGGCACACTCTTCTCTCTCATTCTCTCTCTTATCCCTTCCTCCTCTCTCTCTCTCTCTCTCTCTCTCTCTCTCTCCTCTCTCTTCTATTCTCTCTCTCTCTCTCTCTCTCTCTTCTCCTCTCTCTCTCTCTCTCTATTCTCTCTCTCTTCTCTCCTCTTCTCTCTCTCTCTCTCTCCTCTCTCTTCTATTCTCTCTCTAATCCTCTCTCTCTCTTCTCTTCACTCTCTCCTTCTCTCTCTCTCTCTCTCTCTTCTCTCTCTCTCTTCTCTTCTCTCTTTCTCTCTTCTCTCTCTCTCTCTCTCTTCTCTCTCTCTCTTCTCTCTCTCTCTCTCTCTCTCTCTCTTCTCTCTCTCTCTCTCTTCTCTCTCTCTCTCTTCTCTCTCTTCCTCTCTCCTCTCTCTCTCCTCTCTCTCTCCTTCTCTCTTCTCCTCTCTCTCTCTTTCTCTCTTCTCCTCTCTCTCTCTCTCTTCTCTCTCTCTCTCTCTCTCTTCTCTCTCTCTCTCTCTTCTCTCTTCTCCTCTCTCTCCTCTCTCTCTCTCTCCTCTCTTCTCTCTCTCTCCTCTCTTCTCTCTCTCTCTCTCTCTTCTTCTCTCTCTCTCTCTCTTTCTTTCTTTCTCTGTCGTTGTAAAAATCGTCTTGTTTCTTTCCGTTCACTTTTCTACTCTTTGTGCTGAGCTCAGTGAAGCGGGGCTCAGGTCTGGTCCTGGTTCAGTCCTGGTTTAGTCCTGGTTTAGTCCTGGTTCAGTCCTGGTTAGTCCTGGTTTAGTCCTGGTTTAGTCCTGGTTTATTTCTGGTTCCTGGTTTAGTCCTGGTTTAGTCCTGGTTTAGTCCTGGTTTAGTCCTGGTTTAGTCCTGGTTCAGTCCTGGTTTAGTCCTGGT